CCCCATTATCAAAATTGTCAATCAATGAATTAGGCATACCGAAGCATGGAAAAAGAAAGAAAACACTTCTGATAAAATCTAATAAAATGCCAGAAGAGAAGAATGAAATCTGATTTTCATTGATTGACCAAAAAAGGTTACAAAAGCAGTTATATAAAGTAATTACACTAACTATCATGACTAACTGAATAACCAATTAGTTGTAGAACAGTAATGTATCCTAATAATTCTTATTAATCATGAATTACCAAAAATTAAGCATATTCTTTCCGTTAAAAAAGATACTTAAGTCACATTTGAACCCTTCTCTTAAGATTCATTTGCAGTTCCTGAACTCTTAGTGTTTCTTTCACGTTTCAAACTATTAGAAAAACTATACATGTACTGAACTCCTGGGAGAAGCCTTGTTGTCCACTTATCACGGTGAGTTTCTCCGGTTAGCATATTAGATTTTGACAAAAATTATGTAATAAAATGAAGTGCTCTTCACCCTTCTATTCACTTTCTTCTTCTTTTCTTCTTTTTAAGACTCTATAACTTAAGGGTCCAAGCTTTGCTTTTTGTTGAGTAAAATAAATTCTTTGAGGATAAGTTTCAGCTTTAGAATTCATCGGGCATCAATTTGAGCTACATATCTTGATCGTAGAATGTATAAAACTTGGACTATTCATGTACATGAAGGGAGTAGAAAGTGAATAATAGCTGAATAAAAGAGCTTTATTTCGAGATTTTAATAGAAAGCTTGTCATGTTTTGAGTGTTATGTATGATTTATGACGTAAATGATAAATGAATTTTAAACTTGTGTTCTTATGGTGCTATATGAGCCTTTGTAACTCCTTTAAACGTTGGGAATCGATTTGGACTTATATTAGAAGGTTTTAGAGTCATTTTTAAGTTTAGGTATTGGTATATGAAAAACAATAATGATACCATAAGAACTAGTGATACAATATTTTGGGCAAAAATATTGCATAAATTTCAAAGTTTTCATTTATAAATTTTGAGTTAAAAAAGTAAAAGTATCCATATCGGTAGAGTTTTTTTATCTATTATTTTTTATCTGGTTTGAGCTAGTTAAAAAACTCACTTAAAACATATATTAAAATAAGGATTTATGATGTCTACTTTTACTTTTACGAAATTAGTTAATTGTTCCAATTGGAATGTGCGGTTTGACGTATTAAAGTTTACTTCCCCGTCCCTGTGCTAATGTCAATTCCATGTAATCAAGTTTTAACATTTTGATTTAACACAATCACTAAGTCGATTGAAAATTTTAAAGCAAACAACTGTATGAATTATTTTTCACGTACTTTTGTAGATGATTGAGTTTCAAAGTTTTTATGAGTACGAGATATACTTTAGAATTAGAAATTAGTTATATGAATAATAAACAATTATTTATTAGGAAAATGTCAAGTAAAGTTTTTAGAAGCTAAACATTATGCATGTTTAATGTTGTATTGGATTGTGTCTCGATCTAGTTAAGTAATATTGATAAAAATACTTTTACTTAATTTGCATGATTCAAGTTTTTGAACAAACTAACCAAAAATTTATCCAGTCGAGCCAGATGTATATAAAAACACAAGCTAATCATAGAAAGTAAAGTCTAGCCATATGATTTACACACGTTGGTTAAATTTGAAAAACGTTTGGTTGAAAATTTTGGTTGGTTGTAGTTTTCCCAAACATCTCTATATATTTGAAAATAAACAAAAGGAAAAACCATTCTACCTTCAAGTGAAAATAAAATAAAAGATATGGAAATAAATTTTATTGTAGTTTGTACAGTGTCTATAATATTAAATTTATTCGTTGCAGCCATGCAAGCTCATCTTGATGTCGTAAGGTAAGCAAAATTATAGCTCACTTTAATACTCTAACGGTGAAAACATGTATAACTTCTTTATTAATCTATTTTGTTTTAGCCATTGTTGGATGCTTGGAAAGAAGCTTGTGGTTCGACAACTCCATCAACAATTGTGATTCCTGAAGGGACATATTTGTTAAGTCAAGCAACGCTAGAAGGTCCTTACAAGGCTCCTATTGAGCATCAACTTGAGGGCAATGTAAAAGCAGCAACTGATCCTAAAGCTTTCAAGGAGCCTAAATGGGTTAGCTTCCTTCATGTTGAAAACTTCAAATTGTTCGGTGGAGGAGCTTTCGATGGACAAAGAACCGCTTCTTATAAGAGAGAAGGTTGCGAAAAACACGACTTCTGTAGTAACCTCCCCATCATAAGGTTTCATACCTTTCATAAGAATTTGATATTCTTCTTAGTAGTTATAACTAATACATATTTTTTCTCGTGACTCTTTTAACTCCGAAATTAAACATAATGTAAGGTTTGATTATTTGACCAATGCAATGGTACAAGGTATAACTCTCAGAGATAGCAAACAGTTCCACGCTAATGTTTTGGGATGCAAAAACATTACTTTCGAACATGAAATTGTATCTGCACCTAAAGATAGCTCAAACACAGATGGGATTCATATCGGGAGATCAGATGGGGTTAAAATTATAGACACATATATCAAAATTGGTGATGACTGTATTTTAATTGGGGATGGTGCCAAAAATCTGGACATCACGGGAGTAACTTGTGGACCCGGACATGGCATCAGTATCGGTAGTCTTGGAAAGTTTGCAAACGAAGAACCCGTTGAAGGAATTAAAGTGTCGAAGTGTACCTTGACTGATACTTCGAATGGTGTTAGAATCAAGACTTGGGCAGGTCAATTTCCTGGCACAGCATCGGATATACATTTTGAGGATATCACAGTGAAGAATGTTAGTTGTTCCGTCCTGATTGACCAAAAATACTGCCCATGGAATAAATGCAAAATGGATGTATGTACATACTTTTAAAAAAACCCAATATAATGAAAAGAGTTAATCAATAATCTGACAAGTACTTTGATCTTGCAGGAAGAATCGAATGTTAAACTAAGTAACATCAGCTTCAAGAACATTCATGGTACGGCTGCGCTTCCAGAAGTTGTCAAACTCGTTTGCAGTGGTACTTTTCCATGTGAAAATGTAGAACTCGCCGACTTTGACATTACGTTTAGTGGACCGGATGGACCTGCAAAATCCGAATGTAAAAATGTTAAACCAATAGTTACTGGCAAATAAAATCCGATTGCATGTTCTACCTCGTACCAACAAACCCTACCCCTACGGTTTAAATGTTGGCTGGCAATAAAAAGAGGAAAAAAACAAAGTGAATGTAACTTATGTACCTTTTCATTTTATATAAATGCGTCCATTTCATTTTAATCACAAATTATTCATAAACTTCTATATTATATTCATTTTTAAATATATATATATATATATATATATAATTTAATCGAAAAAGAAAAAAAATGTATATGGTAACATTTTAAGCATTTTGACTTATTTGTATTGGCATTATGTGCATGTACACGCTATTTATTTTTATTTCAAGTAAACAGATTAAGCAATCGTCATCAAAGCTATATAAAAAAAAACACACACAAGGTGTCATTCATACCAATCACAAGGTGTCATTCATACCAAGGTTTACTTAATCAAACTTTTTATTAGATCCGTTTCAAAATTCCAATAAAATATTATTGTATGAAAGGCGTCTTACTCTAACGCTTACTTCGGGTGTGAGTAAGGGAATATTTTTTCTTGAAAATTTATTAAATTATTTTGAATATTAACTTCCAAAAAATGAAAAATATAGTTTCGAGCACTGAGATTAGATTTTGGTATACTTTACACGTGCATGCCAATAAAACAAAATCGTGGTTCGAGTACATTAAAATTTGTCAACTCGACTATTCATTTTTAAATTAAATGTCAAACTATTAATTCCATTTTTTAATATTTAATTTTCTTAAAAACTAAATCTTATATTTCGAATATATTATCTAATTTTGAATATTTTTTTTTAAAAATATCGGTTCTTGTTTGCCAACTTTTTTAACTTCTAATGAAATTAGTTGTATTTTGACATCTATTTCTTCGTTTAGTTTCATATAATTTTATAGTATTCAATTTTTTGGGCCTCTTATTAAAAATATTATTTATTAAAAGTTGTATGTGAATTGTCTTATCATAAAATAAGTAGATAAATGTGTCAAGAAGTTTTTAGTTTCTTTTATAGATTTGTAGAATTGATGACGCCGCTGCAATAAAAATGTATAAATCAATTATGTAGTATATATTTATTATGAAAAAGCTTTCAATATGTTGTAAGTTCTTTTGCTCCTTCGTACATTTTAAATTTAGTCACTCTACTTTTACTTTTAGGAAATTAGGTAATTGTTCCAATCGGAATGTGTTGTTTGACGTATTAAAGTTTACTTCCCCATCCCTGTGCTAATGTCAATTCCATGTAATCAAGTTTTAACATTTTGATTTAACACAATCACTAAGTCGATTGAAAATTTTAAAGCAAACAAATGTATTAACTATATTTCACGTACTTTGTAGATGATTGAGTTTCAAAGTTTTTATGAGTACGAGATATACTTTAGAATTAGAAATTAGTTATATGAATAATAAAAAATTATTTATTAGGAAAATGTCAAGTAAAGTTTTTTAGAAGCTAAACGTTATGCATGTTTACTATTGTATTGGATTGTGTCTCGATCTAGTCCCAAAACACTTTTTTAAGTAATATTGATAAAAATACTTTTACTTAATTTGCATGATTCAAGTTTTTGAACAAACTAACCAAATATTTATCTAGCCGAGCCAGGTGTATATAAAAACACAAGCTAATCATAGAAAGTAAAGTTTGGCCATATGATTTACACACGTTGGTTAAATTTGAAAAACGTTTGGTTGAAAATTTTGGATGGTTGTAGTTTGCCCAAACATCTCTATATATTTGAAAGTAAACAAAAGGAAAAACCATTCTACCTTCAAGTGAAAATAAAATAAAAGATATGGCAATAAATTTTATTGTTGTTTGTACAGTATCTATAATATTAAATTTATTCCTTACAACCATGCAAGCTCAAGCAGCTGCTCTTGATGTCGTAGCTAAGTTTGGCACAAAGGCTGACTTGAATACATATTTGAGTAAGGTAAGCGAAATTATAGCTCACTTTAATACTCTAACGGGGTAAACATGTATAATTTCTTTATTAATCTATTTTGTTTTAGCCATTGTTGGATGCTTGGAAAGAAGCTTGTGGTTCGACAACTCCATCAACAATTGTGATTCCTGAAGGGACATATTTGTTAAGTCAAGCAACGCTAGAAGGTCCTTACAAGGCTCCTATTGAGCTTCAACTTGAGGGCAATGTAAAAGCACCAGCTGATCCTAAAGCTTTCAAGGAGCATAAATGGGTTAGCTTCCTTCATGTTGAAAACTTCAAATTGTTCGATGGACAAGGAACCGCTTCTTATAAGAGAGAAGGTTGCGAAAAACACGACTTATGTAGTAACATCCCCATGGTAAGGTTTCATACCTTTCGCAGGAATTTGATATTCTTCTTATTAGTTATAACTAATACATATTTTTTCTCATGACTCTTTTAACTCCGAAATTAAACAGAATGTAAGGTTTGATTATTTGACCAATGTAATGGTACAAGGTATAACTCTCAGATAGCAAACAATTCCACGCTAATGTTTTGGGTTGTAAAAACATTACTTTCGAACATATCACTGTATCCGCACCTAAAGATATCCTAAACACATATGGGATTCACATCGGGATATCAGATGGGGTTAAAATTATTGACACGGATATCAAAACTAGTGATGATTGTATTTCAATTGGGGATGGTGCCAAAAATATGGACATCACGGGAGTAACTTGTGGACCTGGACATGGCATCAGTATCGGTAGTCTTGGAAAGTTTGCAAACGAAGAACCTGTTGAAGGAATTAAAGTGTCGAAGTGTACCTTGACTAATACTTCGAATGGTGTTAGAATCAAGACTTGGGCATGTCAATTTCCTCGCACAGCATCGGATATACATTTTGAGGATATCACCGTGAAGAATGTTAGTTGTCCAGTCCTGATTGACCAGAAATACTGCAAAACAATTCCATTCGTTTAAAATTTGTCAAACCCAAAATTGGGGTTAAATTGAAATACTTAGGATTTTTTGTTCTTTTCACAACCTTTCAAAACTATGAGGACTAGTTGTGTAATTAACTCAGTTCTTAGGGTATTTAAATACTCGTGCTTTCTTTCTTCTCCTATTTTTCCCGTTTTTCAACTCCCAGCCGCTCAATTTTTCTCTCTTTTGGTTCGTCGGGTTGTTGCTCTTTTTGTCGCCTTCTACATCGTCGTAGGTGTTAGTGGCGATGCCAATCATTCTAGCATGTTATTTCTTGTCATTTAGTGTTCTTGGTTTCTCCTTCGCCGACACCGTTAATGATTGTATTTATTCATAAATTCTAGAATTAATTATCATATTGTATTCTGAATATGATTACGTGTCTACACATAGCTCTCTAGTAAATCTAAAATACTTCCATTCGACTCAACTCGATTTCGCGCATTCGACTCACGATATACGTCAGTGTTTTTAAATGTTTACTAGTCTGTTTCGATAAGAGATATTGCTTAGTACTCACATTATAATATCTTATTATTAGGTTCCCATCTCATAGGATCTAGTACTATCAACCATGAAAAGTGTAAAAATTAACTTATATCATTTCAGTAGTATATATGTGTACTTTGATTTATATTGTATGATTACTTTTTCATATTATGTTATGTTTTCTACTATATATTGCACTAACATGTTTTATTCTTGATGAATATAATATTATTTATAATTTGTAAATTGGTGTAAGATTTTGTTTTGGGACTATCTACGAAATTCTTGAGTTCCTCCTAACATTCTCATCCTATTTTTTTATTTTTGTTTTATGTTCTTCTTCAGGGGTAACATCCTCCATCTTGAGTTATGAGTAATGTTTATATCTTTATATCTATTTTCTGGTTTGGATTCCTCTTTAAAGGGTAACATCTCCTTCCTATTTATCCATAATAAAAGGTAAGATTGTAGACTTTATAGTAATATTCTGATGATAAAATATTTAATTTTACTGATTGTATGAGTATTATATGATATATTATATCGTACTTGAATTATCTACCTTTAAATATTGATACCGATTGCACTTAAAGGACACACTGAATTTTATACCTCACTCTTTTAGTTTGTCTTTTTTGATCTCATAGCCTTTAGAGCTCTAACTGATGCTTAGACGATCGATTAGTAGCACTACTACTTTAGATATTGTATGATTAATTTGAGACTTATTTTTGAGTAAACTTTTCATTTATATTTAATTATTTTATGTACTTGAAATTTTTAAGATACATTTTCATGGGGATTTAGACTTTATCCTATGCATGCATAGTCTTATTTATTATTTGATTTTATTTATGATATTATACTGATTTTCTGTCAATTTATGCTAGTGTGATCTTTAAGATTAAATCGCAATGGGGTTATAATTTTTTTTTTTCTTTTTTGCATGTTAATGGAGAGTGAGAAACTCATTTTGAGTAGGTTTCTTTTGTAAATTTTTTTAGATTATCCCTAAAATAAAGATTAAAGATAAAAAATTTAAAAAGTAAGTTGATTAAACTCTAATGATGTAAATCTTCTTGCACCATAATTTTTTATCAGTGAGTTTTCTTTTCTACTCGTGAATTTTTCTGAAAGAAATTTTCATGTTAAATGCTAATAGTTTATTTACAATTGTTTTACATTTATTATTACCATACCCATATTACTATATTTAGGGTAAACTACACGTTTAGTATATCAACTATCATTTTTGTTTTGTTTTGCTCACTTAATTATTATTTTTTTAAATCATACTTAACATTGTATTTTAGTTTCATTTTGGTCATTTGACGTTAAAAATTAATAAAATTATTGATGTGACATTTTAAAAGAATTTCAATGATAACATGACATTACCTTATAGTGGCACGCCAACATCATTATTAAATTTTTAATGATGGAAGATTAAAATGAAATCAAAATGTAATGTTAAGTATGATTTTTTAAACAAAAATAATTGGTTAACCTAAACGAAACAAAAATAATAATTGAGGTACTAATGTGTAGTTTACCCTTATGTTTATATTAGAGCATATAATGTATTTTAATTGTTATATTTAAAAGAACACAAAAATCTACAAATGTATATTAATTTAAGTTATAAATAATTTGATATTTCTTAAGTAGATCTCAAATTTTAGTCCTTATATATGTAAAAAAAATCTCATTGGAAGACATGCTCACTAAAATCATATTTACAACATGAATCAGTTTAAATTAGTAAAGACAAAACTCTAAACCTGAGTTAGCAATAAAAAAGCACAAAAATCTTTATTCGTTAGAAAAAAAGTTAATTTTTTTATAGTTGAAAAAAAATTGTTAGCTTAACGACTGTGAGTCTAATCCTGCAAACGAATCGAACGCACACGAATGGAGGTATGTTCATGTTCGTTCATTTAATAAATAAACGAACATGAACATAAACGAACAAATATTTTTTTGTTCATGTTCATTCATTAAGGAATATAGCTTGTTCATGTTCGTTCATTTAATAAATAAATGAACATAAACGAACACGAACGAACGAACATAAACGAACAACACAAACACAAAAAAAAACTTATTAGAACACAACAAACGAATGTAAAAAAAAGTAAACAACAATAATAACAACTTAAAATTCATTAATATAACTTGCAACTTTAAAGTTAATTTATTCGAATACGACAAAAACATACATAAATCATAAATAAGTTATATGAACATAACAAAGTCTTAAAGTTAATTTATTCAACAAACAATCTTCTTGAAATCCAAACAACTTCAATAATCTTCGTAACATATTCAACTTGCCATCTGTTCGAACATAAATAAATATAAATGAACGAACATATAATCGAACGTTCACGAACGTAAATGAACGAACGAATCCTTTGTTTATGTTCGTTCATTTAATTAAACAAACGTAAAATCTTATTCATATTCATTTATTTAATAAATAAACGCACATAAATAAACTTGTAACAGTACGATTTATGAACGGTTGGCTGCGCTCAATTTATTTACGTGCCTACTTTTTACCTATAGAAAAACACAAATCTTTATAAACACTATTTTCTCCCCTTTCAAGAGCTTCAAATAATAGTAAAAAAGCAATAACTTCGTTCAAATAACAGTAAACTAATTGCAAAAGCTTCTTCCTTTACTCATTTCCCTGGCTTTTGAACTTCATAGCTACCTCGAAAAACTCTTTTTAATTCTTAACTACTGAAGCTTTTAACTTTCCTTTTTGTTTCAGAATAAATGTTTTTATTGAACTTTGGGTTGTTTCTGGTATAGGAAACAGGAGTAGAAATGAAACAAACCCTTCTAGATTTCTCTGGTTGGCCTTAAAAGAATCATGAACTTGAAGTCTAGCACTTGTTCTTGTTCATACTTGGTTTGTGATATTCCACGCCCAAAGATATTTCTAGATATTTCGAGCAGAGTTGGAATGGTTTTGCAGGCTGATCTAATTGTTAGTGGATACCCAAACACACATATATAATTTCATCTTTGGCATGGCTACTGGAGTTCAAAATCAAGAGAGTGTGCCAAAGTACCTGAAGAAACAGCTTGCTCTTACTGTGAGGAACATCCAATGGAGTTACGCAATTTTCTGGTCCATTTCAACTAGACAGCCAGGGTACAAAATGCAAAGCTGGGGCCTTCTTCTAACTAGTTAAAAGTACCACTACAAAACTGGTATTTTGTTAATGCAATTTTCTGCTTTGCTACTTTTAGGGTCTTGGAATGGGATGATGGTTATTACAATGGAGATATAAAGACGAGGAAAACAGTTCAGGCTGTAGAGCTCAACGCTGACCAACTGGATTTGCAGAGAAGTGAGCAACTGAGAGAACTTTATGAGTCACTCTCGGCTGCTCAAACTAGTCCTCATGCTATAAGACCTTCAGCAGCATTATCCCCTGAATATCTCACAGCTACTGAGTGGTATTACTTGGTTTGTATGTCATTTGTATTCAACATTGACCATGGGTAATCTCTCTTCCATGTTCTTTGTTCGAACTAGAAAAGATTCAACAAAATAAAATCTGTCTCTGATTGTTAATTGTTCATCTAAATTGTTGTTAGATTGCCGGGAAGAACTTTGTCTAGTGGTCAACCTGTTTGGCTTTGTAATGCTCATTGTGCAGAGAGTAAAGTGTTCAGTCGTTCACTGCTTGCAAAGGTATGTGCCGTGGTTGTTTAACTTATGATTAAGTCAAAATGATCATAAATGAGAGTTTGGTTTTTGTTCTCATGGCTGCAA